TTTGATAGGATAACTTTAATTATATTACGTGGAACCCATGGGTTAATAGCTTGCTTTTAATTATCAAGGAGATCCCATTAGTTGACAGGGGTCTATCTAGAAACATGATCATTTCTTGGTCTTCTCTCAACGGTGGTAAAATCGTATCCCCAAAAAAAAAGGCCGTTGGGCTGTGTGGGATGTATAAATTCACAGCCACGTCCGGTCAGAAAGAGAACGTAACTCCCGCCATACCGGTGCTTTGTCATGGTATGAACCCTTGCAACAACTCTGTGAGAGGACGGGCGTTGGTCAGTTACAAGGCCTAAATTCTGTCCCTTTTTCCATATACCTACATTTTCAATTTGCATTCCAAATTTCCAGCGGTCATCCCGGTCTATCCCCTATTGCAGGACCTAACTATTGTATTTACTTTTAATTTGTCTCATCCTGATAATGCATGAAACATTTGTTCTGGACGTTAATCAAACAGCAATAAATTTATCACAGAAATTGTGTGAGGACATACATGCTCTGAAATATCGTATAAAATGGAAGCTATACAAGCTATATACAAGAGCTGCTAAGATATTTTTGCAAAGAAATGAAAAGTTTGGTAGATGCCATCATCTCTGTTATGTCAAGTTTTTGTTTGAAATCGACCATCATGGTCAATTTATAGATGTTTAAGTCAAGATGAGAGACAAACTTAACTGTACAGTGATATCCTTTGTTTCAAGTTCGATGCGATAGATCGATGCGTTCGACGAAGTCACCATCATTGAACTATTTAGCAAGAGGACATCATCTACATAGCGGAATGTAAATATAATTCGAAGATTCTGAATGAAATTTAACTCGTATGAATAGAAAAATAGTCGACAAGCAGAAACGCAGTTGATTCCCATATAATGCCTATTGCTTGTCGAAAAGATGTCCCCCAAAGTAACAAATATGTTGTCAATGAAAATAATCAAGCATCTTGAAAAAAGCAGCTTCAGAGAATTTCTGTATGAATATATAGAGTAGTTTTTTTACAATACGTTGATTAATTGTTCATTGCTAAATGTTCAGTGGCAAATAGTTCATGTGTGTTTAGGACGATGACCATGAGCAATGGTAGGATATGCAAGGTTCTGGTCGACAGGGATGGCGGATGGGAATTTTGGACTGTCATTGGAAAATAATGGCATGTTACGTACGAACCCCTTCTTTAACGTGCAAACAGCAGCACTCGTTTACACAAAGCATCGGATTACATAGATATAAGAAGATGTAGTATGACTGCCAATGAGACAACTCTCCATCCAAGTCACAATTTGTAAAAGTAAACCATTATAGGTCAAAGTACGGTCTTCAACACGGAGCCTTGGTTCACATCGAACAGCAAGCTATAAAGGGCCCCAAAAATAAGTAGTGTAAAACCATTCAAACGGGAAAACCAACTGTCTAATCTTTTTAAAAAACCACACCAACAAACGACAACCACTGAACATCAAGTTCCTGTCCTCATTCCGCACTACCGCAAGGATTTTACTACCGGAACGAGTAGTACCAAAGAGGACAATATATTTATAAGTCCCGGTCAACCCTTGGGGTCTTTTACCAAGTATGATTTATTCCTTCCTGAAACCAGATATCTGTATCTATAAAATAATTCGTAAGGGTTCCGCGGAACCCAGTGTCTCGCCTACTTTTGCTGTTAATCACAGGCTTAACAAAAATGAGGAAAAAAAATAATAAAAATATTCCTCTCTATACTATCTTTTGATTGTAAGTAGCTTCTGTCCAAGTTTGGTAAAAATCCAGGATAGTTTATGAATCTAATAAATGTTTTAAAAACTTAAACTGCAGACTGTATGTAATGTTAACTGGAAGAAAAACTAAGTCCATTTATAAGTAAAACACGGAAAAAATGGAACAAAATTTTAACAAAATTGCCTTCTAGATACTAGCTTTTAATCATAAACAAGCTTCTGTCCAAGTTTGGTACAAATCCAGGATAGTTTAAGAAAGTTGTTAAAATTTTAAAAACTTTAACCACAGAGTGAATGTAATGTTAACTGGCAGAAAAAACTAAGTCCATTTATAAGTAAAATACGGAAAAAATGGATTTTTTTTTTTACAAAATTTACTTCTGGATACTATCTTATGATCATAAACAAGCTTCTTTCCAAGTTTGGTAGAAATCCAGGATAGTTTAAGAAAGTTATTAAAATTTCAAAAACTTTAACCACAGAGTGAATGTAATGTTTCCTGGCAGAAAAACTAAGTCTATTTATAAATAAAATACGGAAAAAATGGAATATTTTTTTTACAAAATTTACTTTTGAATATTATCTTTTGATTATAAACAAGCTTCTGTCCAAGTTTGGTAGACATCCAGGATAGTTTAAGAAAGTTATTAATATTTCAAAAACTTTAACCACAGAGTGAATATTTGTGGACGCCGCCGCCGCCGACGACGACGACGACGACGACGCCGACGCCGACGGAATGTAGGATCGCTATGTCTCGCTTTTTCGACAAAAGTCGAAGGCTCGACAAAAAGAAGATGTGGTATGATTGCCAATGAGACAACTCTCCACAAGAGACCAAAATGACACAGAAATTAACAACTATAGATCACCGTACGGCCTTCAACAATGAGCAAAACCCATACCGCATTTTCAGCTATAAAAGGCCCCGAAATGACAATGTAAAACAATTCAAACGAGAAAACTAACGGCCTAATCTATGTTTGCTTTCTTTTTTATGAACCAAAATTGGCCAAATAATTTTGATTTAAAGTTTAAAATATAATTAAAAAATCTTTATAGGATTGCAAGAGAAAAAAACTCTTGCAAATCTATGGAATATTTTGTATCCACATCTGATTCGTAGTACATCTCATGTGTACATGTTCGCATACACGAAATGGTTCAGTAAGGATTTATTAATAATTAAATTATTCTAGTTCATATCTCTGATGAAATATGTTTCGATAAATAGTAAAATATCCATTATGCGATTTTTTTAAATTTTATAAAGGATCAATACAAAAAATGTAGATTCCTTGTCTAAACCTGTATACTGTAGAATACGTTATGATATTATAAAATGTATTTAGAATATAATTTATTTGTTTTTACATCGACTTTCTCAGCCTAGTAGACATATTTCCTTTTAGTTTATTCATACATGGTGCAAAAATCAATAAAAGAAAGAGAAAAAATGTATAGAATATACATTTATATTATTTATTATCTAAACACCCGTCTACATTGGTAAATATATTAAAAAAAACTTTACATTGTTTAGATTATATGTCGATTTTCTGAATTTGAAGATAAACGACTGTCAAGAGTTCAAATTATTATGTAATAATTTAACACGTCCCATTAAGCTAATTGATAAGGAACGCCACGATCTTAATGTGATGAAAGTTTGATAATAGAGTACTATGGGCGTCCTTTGATCCTTTATCAGAAAATGCACCCTACTACGAAACATTTGTTCTTGCGGATGTGAAAATATCTGCCAGATTTTACATTAGAGTTTAAGTTAGGGCAAGGAGCTCATATAACCTGTTTAGTTATTTTACTTCCATGGTTAGGGTAAAAAACTAAAAAAACTAAAAAGTCAAGCGTTGATAAAATAAATAATAATAATCTTTATTGTCATATAAACAAATTAAACATGTTTGTGACAAACTGAAAAAAAAACTAACATACACTCATACATATAATATATATGTATATATCAATTGTTGCAAGTATATAATATAGTGAAAAATCAAAATACAAATTACAACATATTAATATATTACCACAAAACTTTTAACCATCGGTAAATCAAGATTCCCCTGTCCTCAGTTCCATTGACTGTTTTAAAAACGAGCCTAAACTTTGTACCTGTTGAAAATTTTATTGATTGAGTATGTATTGTAGTTTTTGTTTGTTAGTGCAACTCATAAAGTCAGTATTTTGAGAAGCAATTTCAGAGAAGTAATCATTTCTTACATGTTTATTTGTTTCGCAATGAAAGAAGGAGTGAAATTCATCATGTTTAACTTTAATAGGGCAAAAAAAAAAAAAAAAAATTTTAACATGGAAAGCGGTAAAGCTTATTTCCTCTAAATTTCTTTCTACTAAGACCATTTTAAAAAGTTCTCCGTTATTTGAAAAGTCATACATGTAGTGTCAAATGAATACTTTTAGATTTAAACATGTAATTTTTTTACATATTTTCGCACACGTGATTATCTTATTATTGAAATTTTTTAACATGGCACAAGACTTCAATTTTTACAGATATTTGCAAATTTTTAGTATTTATTAAAAATTGATCTGTTGGACACCCATAAGCAATTTAAATCGTAGGAGAGTTTTAAGCTCCTTATTTGATAATAATTGATAAACTTAAGTTATGACCTTTATATACAGACCTTTATATTTTAGAAACTTTTGGAAATTTGGATCTCAGATTTTAATAGCTACCTAGACCATGGAAGTATTATATTTATTGTTTTTGCTCAGTTCTTATTATTATTATTATTCTTCTTCCGCCGCTTTTAAATTTGAACTTGTCCGCACCTGTTCTCCATAACCGCTTGTCAGATTAACTTAGGGTTTCACAATATGTTAGACTGACATGTCTAGTGGTGCAATCAGGGTTTTGTTTGTGCAATGGGGTTTATAAAGGGGAACTTTGAGGGGCAAAAAGAAAAGAGGGTTTTACTATAGAACCCTATGGGATTTTATTTTTTAAAATTTTCAAATGATTATAAATTGAAAACCGTTTGTGATAGACACAATCTTTTTAATTAAAAATGTTCTAAATGATAAAGCCCATTAAATGAAATACAGGGTTAGTCCCCAGGGGTCACCCCCACCCCCTGCCATTTAAGAAAGTTCTAATATCTTCTAAGTGGTCAAGATCCCCACCCCTAAACCATATATATTCTGGTTTTTCATGCTAAGATGGTTTGAATGATATACAGGGTTAGTACCCAGGGGTCATCCCGACCCCCTGCCAATCCCGACCCCCTGCCATTTGAGAAAGTTCTAATATCTTGTAAATGGTTGAGATCCCCACCCCTAAACCATATATATTCTGGTTTGTCATGATAAAGCACATCAAATGAAATACAGGGTTAGTCCCCAGGGGTCACCCCCACCCCCTGCCATTTAAGAAAGTTCTAATATCTTCCAAGTGGTCAAGATCCCCACCCCTAAACCATATATATTCTGGTTTGTCATGCTAGGATGGTTTGAATGATATACAGGGTTAGTCCCCAGGGGTCATCCCGACCCCCTGCCATTTGAGAAAGTTTAAATATCTTGTAAATGGTCGAGATCCCCACCCCTAAACCATATATATTCTGGTTTGTCATGATAAAGCACATCAAATGTTATACAGGGTTAGTCCCCAGGGGTCACCCCACCCCTGCCATTTAAGAAAGTTCTAATATCTTGTAAGTGGTCAAGATCCCCACCCCTAAACCATATATATTCTGGTTTGTCATACTAAGATGGTTTGAATGATATACAGGGTTAGTCCCCAGGGGTCATCACGACCCCCTGCCATTTGAGAAAGTTCTAATATCTTGTAAATGGTCGAGATCCCCACCCCTAAACCATATATATTCTGGTTTGTCATGATAAAGCACATCAAATGAAATACAAGGTTAGTCCCCAGGGGTAACCCCCACCCCCTGCCATTTAAGAAAATTCTAATACCTTGTAAGTGGTCAAGATCCCCACCCCTAAACCATATATATTCTGGTTTGTCATGCGAAGATGGTTTGAATGATATACAGGGTTAGTCCCCAGGGGTCATCCCGACCCCCTGCCATTTGAGAAAGTTCTAATATCTTGTAAATGGTCGAGATCCCCACCCCTAAACCATATATATTCTGGTTTGTCATAATACAGCACATCAAATGTTATACAGGGTTAGTCCCCAGGGGTCACCCCCACCCCCTGCCATTTAAGAAAGTTCAAATATCTTCTAAGTGGTCAAGATCCCCATCCCTAAACCATATATATTCTGGTTTGTCATGCTAAGATGGTTTGAATGATATACATGGTTAGTCCCCAGGGGTCATCCCGACCCCCTGCCATTTGAGAAAGTTCTAATATCTTGTAAATGGTTGAGATCCCCACCCCTAAACCATATATATTCCTGTTCGTCATGTAATGAACATTTGAATGACGTATAGGGCCAGTCCCCAGGAGTTTCTCCCCACCCCCAATGTTCTAGTATCTTGTAAATGGTCGAAATCCCCACCCCTAAACCATATATATTCTGGTTTGTCATGCCAAGATGATTTGAATGATATACAAGGTTAGTCCCCAGGCATCACTAATGCATATAACTTTACTGGACCAAACCAATTTTCGCTGGACGTTGCCCAATGTCAGGCGACCCTGGGAATTACGAATTATGGGAGCTTCGTTTGGGAGACTTCGTAACAGCATCCTGTTACAATCATTTCTTGTTATATATTACTTCCATGCCTAGACACTGCATTTGGAAAGGTTCAGAGTTTGAATTTGAAAAAATATTCTTGGTATCCATTCGTTAGGCTAGCATTAAGTACACAGCTTGAGGTTATGGACTAAGTATATTTTGCCTTCCAATAAAATAGACTTGTGATTAAAGTCTATACTTAATTTTCACTAATGTTGTATATTTTGTACACTTGTATTGTGCATTGTTATATAAATCATATGTGCCTTATCCAATGAATAATTAGGATTTGGACACGTTACATGTAGTACAGCAAATACAGGGAAAATTGGCCGTACCTCTGTAGAATTTCATATCCTTTAACTTTTGCTTTGTCTTAATCTTGAACTCTGCTTTAATACATAAGGCCAATGTATACCAAATTGTATATGCCACATCTGTCTATATCATAGAAACTGTGATTGGTAAACAAACATAACTGTTATGATTACACAAAAGATTCCATTGAACCACATTTGCATCTTCCTTTCTATGATACTAAAAGAGGAAATATACATGAACATACAAAGACACATAATAACGATTTCTCGATTTCTACAGATTGGATTGAGGTGCGAATGCCCATATGTTACGACATTTCATAGATCCGTCACCCATTTTGTCTGAAAATGATAAACCACTTAAAAAAGGGGGAAGGGCTAGTTAGCCAACATTTGGACTGTTACTTTTAAAAAGTCTATGCACTTAACAAATATGCAATTCAATAAGGGGGACCGTCCCCCTGCCCCTCCCCCACTTCCTCATCTGCCCACTGTCGTAATCGAGATTTCACTTCATTGGAGTCGGTGTTGACGAAGTCTTCTGTGTCTTCATTATAAACAAACCTGAATGATACAATGGCATACCTTCTCTTGTATTAACGATATTATTTCAGATCACCGAAATTAAAATGGTTTATTCAATATTTTGGGCAACAAATACAGTATATCTGTTTTCAGGAATAGGCGCACAATTAGGGTTCTCAGAAGTGCAGTATCAAAAAAGTGAAGAAAAATGTTTGCGCAATTATGTCTTGAAAATGGTTCAAACTGAGATAAAATCATTTTACCCGTAAGCGAAAATAATCGTAAATGTATGATGAGTTATTGTTATTAAAGTTGTATTGAAATTAAACTTATGTGAATTAAAAACTTAAAAACTGCAAGCTGTCAAATTATAAATCGATTATCAAAGTCTATAGATGAGTTAACGCACATCAGCAAGATCAAAATATCGATGAACAATTAGTTGTTTGCTGGCTTTAATGCCACTTTCATGACGCTTGGCTTTCCATGTCAATCAAGACTAATTTGTAGAGAAAGCCAGAGAGAACCACTGGCCTTCGACAGGAAAATAAAGAACCGTCTGTCTATTTTTAAAGATCTAAGCCGAACACGCTTTGCCGAAGAAAAAACCAAAGTTTTGACACGCTAGTGGCCATTAAAGTACTACGTAGACAACTCGATGATCAAGTTCCCTTCACATATCGACAGTTCCAGTTTTCTTATGATAAATGAATATTCTATATCATACTCTTTGAAATGGATAGGGTTTGTTGAATTGGTTCGTCCTGGATATATCTGTAATACTTGCCACTGAACGACGAAATGATCTATTAACCATTTATAGGAATTGCGAAATTGTACTAGCTCTTTCAACTGGGAGTAAGACTAATTGTTTATTGAATTTTGATTATCAATATCATTTCCTACGTACTGTTAAGGGGATGACCATATTATTGTTGGAGGAGAGGGGGCAGTAAATGATTTTCGGGAAGAGAATATAAATTTTCCCCTTTTGCGAAGCCGGCTTTTTTTTTTTTTTTTTATCTAAAATGGTCTTTTTTCAGAGACATGTATAACAAGGCCAGAAGACTCCAAGAATATCAAATGGTCGTTCCCATATAAACAAAGCCGGAAAATCTTTATTATTTTTTATACATATTGATAGAGAAAATTGATTAAGAGATTTTTAGATAGCTGCATGCGTAACATCAACAAACAACAAACAGTACACTCTAATGTTAATGCGAAATGTTTTAGAAGATACTCTGATTTATGTAGACCGACACACTGAGTTGATATTTTAAAATGATGACTCCGTTATAAGTCCAAAAAAGAACTCAATATAATGTTTAATATTTTGTCAAGACTTAGTCTTTGCTCTTATAACTACAAATACCATTTGTTAAGTCTTTGGTTTTTTCCGACTTGGACAAACCCACAACCTCAACGCCTGTACCTGGGACAAATACACGCTCTTGGGGAGCTACCATTTGATTTTTATGGGGGGGGGGCTAGGATGAAAATTTTTGTCCTGCCTATTTATTTTCCCCTCTTTTCGGTCCTGCCTTTTTATTTTTCACTCTATTCGGTTAAAAAATTATTCTGAATGCAAATTCACCCCATGCCTTATATTTATAGTGTTAGATTTGAAAAAAAAATATTCTGATTGATCGCGTCAAAGATTGAAGCGTGAAAAAATATTAAACATCAACAGTAAAATCATATCAATCTGATATGTTACTCTTCTGTTGTAAAATTCTAGGGGGCGATTTTTTTTCTTGATTTTATTCTTGGCTTTATGAGAGAAGTAAGCGGTCTATGTATATATATATATATATATATACAAGTCTAAATTGAAAACAACGTTCAAACCTATGACTGCGTTGGATAAAAACCACAATTTTTATACGTGTGCATGCAAAACAAATTTCTTGTTAGAGTGGTCTAAATACAGCACAAACAACATTTTCCAAAAGACCAAAAAAGTGAAAAAGTATATTTCAACAAAACGCATTTGACTAACAGGTCGAACAACTGATGTTCTTAAACCATGCTGACTGCCTTTGGCGATTGCCAAATAAACTGATCATCAGATGTAACAAAATGGATCTAATAATAATTTATTACCAAACAGAAAACCATAATCTTGCGGAAAAGATGGTATACCGCAAACATGAGGTGCATAAATGTGTACACCATATCCGGATTTCGACAATGAATGTCTCTTCAGTGATGTTAGGAATCGAAACGGTATTTGGAAGGCCATATTATTTACCTCAATTTAGGATAGACTCTTGAATTTTGAAAGAGTCGAAATAGGATGAACGGATCATATAAACCCGAAGGCAAATATAATACAAGCCAAAACGAAAAAATATAAACAAGTCTAAATTGAAAACAACGTTCAAACCTATGATTGCGTTTGATAAAAACCGCAATTTTTATACGTGTGCATGCAAAACAAATTTCTTGGTAGAGGGGTCTAAATACAGCACAAACAACATTTTCCAAAAGACCAAAAATGTGAAAAAGTATATTTTAACAAAACGCATTTGACTAGCAGGTCGAACAACTGATGTTCTTAAACCCTGCTGACTGCCATTGGCGATTGCCAAATAAACGGATCACCAGATGTAAAAAAATGGATCTTATTATAATTTATTACCAAACAGAAAACAATAATCTTGCGGAAAAAATGGTATACGCTTTTTCACGCTTTAGAACCGTTCTATCAAAAATATGTGAGTTTTCAGAATGAGGCTTTTTGTAAGGAGAAACTTCTGTCCAACATATCTTCTTTTTATGGACAGTCCAAATAATATTATGACATAAACACATTTTATAATACAAGTATGATTACAATCATTAATCACGAACATTGATTCAGATACTATTTATAGTAAGAACAATTAGAAACAAGCACATAACGTATGTTTCATGTCAGATAAGTTTTGAGCAGTCATTGTCCTAAATCCTACATCGGCGATTGTTACACCACTGTCCAAGTTAAGCGGATTGTTGACATGTTTAAACCGGTTCTAAGGCTTGTAAGTTCCTGTCCCAAGTCATTAGCCAGTAATTCAGTAGTTTCGCTTAATTGTAATTGTTTTTATTTAATTACTTTTAATTGATGGCTTACTTTCAATATATACAATGTATGAGATTAGCTCATTGGTGACGGTCATGCGGTGAACCCATGTCTGTTGGTCTCAGGTGGATTTATGTATCATCCTAATTCTTATACAAATCGGTTTTATTTTAATTGTGAGAAAATAAAAATCTATAGAAGACAATATAATGTTTAACATATCATCTTGTCAACATAACCATTACACTGAGATTTCCCTATAATCATGGTCATATTTGTATTGATATCATGGACAGATTGTCACACAAACTTGTATAAGGAAATCTGTTTGCAACTACAGTAAATGTATGAGCAGATACCACATAAATAAAATAATATA